GGTGACACAGTTCACTCACTTCTGAACACACTGGTATGCTCTTGACATTACGCGTTTTTGCATTTGCATAAGACACAAAAGCGCATAAAAACAGATAAGTTTTTTTTTTTTTCATTCGGTAGAAAAATAAACACGAGCAGGATGATGTGAGCTATGGACTTGAACTTTTGGCACAAGATTGCAGAGTATTAAAGTATCGTCTCTTAGCCGCATGCTTATTTTAGTTTTATTTATTTTCATGGCGAATGCAGAGGCATTTTTTATTTTCACCCTCATTCGTCTAATTAAGCATCACATTCCAACTGCCTCCGGGACCGGATTAAAACTTATCGCGGATCGGATGCGGCCCTCTGGCTACCGGTTGCCCATATTTGGTGCATTTGATACCCATATACGGTGTCTGCGTTGGTAACGAAAGATCGCGCGCCGATTTGGAAACTTATGGATCTTATGTTTTCTTCTTTCCCTTGGTAATTTAATTGACATTTTGCGCAAAAGTGTTGTGTACAAAAGTTGCGCTCAATACCGATTTCTTAGACTTTGTATTATTGTTCCTGCGTGTTCATCATTATTTATTTTCTGTGTGTCACGGTGATTCTTCGCGGTTCGCCTAGACAGTAAATCAACAAAAATAGAAAGATCGCGACAAAAGTGAAGCTTATTGTATAGCAAGTCTCCAAAAGCAGGCGTATTGCGCCAGCATCTAATTGCTGCCACCAGTAGTGCCCACATTTTCTTATATTTGGATGTATTTTGCGGATAACTGCAGTATCGTGCCGGAAACCATTAGTAAATACTAGCATTTTATTTTTTCAGCGATTTTGCGACTTCTGTTGCTACATATTTTTGAGGATGACGAATTTTCTGGTGATTTTGCCGTGAAGAAATATTCGCGTGCTGTCCTATTAGTCTGATGACTCTCATACATTGCATTTACTTGGTGGTCTTTAAATTGACACGATTCTTCACGAACACAACGAAAAACGATTTTTTTGTTTGAACAAGCATTCAGCGACATAGTTTGAACAACGAAGTGTGGAGAAGCGAATACTACTAGAGGTAGCAAAGGTAACGACATTCTTATGCTCTTCACAGAAAATCTTCCTCAATTTATAGAAAAAATAAATGGCCAGCGCACCGACTGCCGGTACGAAGACGCGTTTTTTGCACAGTTTCGGCAGATTATTGTCACTAGTGGTACCGCCTTTTTCTGCACATGTTTCTAGCTAAACGAATTGGTACAGGACTATCAGGAAATATCCCTTTAAAGTTCTAATTTTTAGCTTTGCTGCTTTCTGAGTCAGCAATTTACCCAAAAAAAATTTCCCGGGCCGTAAATGGGAACCACGTATACCCGATGTGTTGGTTTGATCTCATTTAACACCTGCGCGGATGATGAGCATTTCCTAAAAATTATAGCCAACTTTTCAGTTTCCCGAGTTAGCAACTTATCCGCAAATAATTTTCCCGGGCACGTAAGTGGGAACCAGGCATATCCGGGGTCTGAGTCTGAACTCATTAAGATCTACATGGATGAGAAACATTCTCTTAAAATTTCCGCTTTCTAGATTTTTTGGTTCCGGAGTTAGCAGCGTGCCCGTCAAAAACTTTAGCGGACCCGTACGCGGGTATCACGTGGGTACGAGCATCATTTTGGGGCTGGAGACCCGTACGCGCAGTAGATTAAGTTCCCAAAGTTTCAGCCCTGTAGCTTTTGTAGCTCTCGAGATGAAAAATCGGTATACACAAACACACATACACACACAGAAACACACAGACAACCCCTCGTCAGTATACGTTTTCTCCATTGGATAGATGCGAAAAACGCATAAAAATGGACAGATTCTGAATATTTCTTGATTTTCGGAAAGAATTCCTCCCCTCTTTATCAAAGATCAAGAGCGAAGGAAGAAATGCTCCCGGGAAATAATTAAAAAATGCTTATTTTATTATTTTATAATTTCTTTAAATCCCTCCCTCTTGTATTTTATCCTATATCTTTTGAACTTAAAGATTTGAGCAAACGCAATTACGAAAATTTCATGTGCATTCGTCACTTCTCCCAATCCTGAGATGGAACTGTCATTAATGTGCTCTTGCCAGATTTAGCGGGGGGTCTGGCTTCTCGGTAGAATCAGACGATTTGGCAATGGCGGAAGGGGAAAAGTCGTTTCAAAAACTGTTCAAACCCGATTAGGCTACAACCGTCGGGCGTAGGAAGAATTCTTGCTCCTATCAGTCTTAAATAATTATTTCGTAAAACCGTGTAACAGTGCTGTGAACTCCGATTAAATATAGCGTTTTTACTTATGGTAACACGCTACGATTTTGAAAAGAGAAGCAATTATTAAAAAATTTCAGTAAACTTAAAAAATCTGGAAACTTTGTTCATGAGTGAAATGGAAAGTATTTTTTTTTGGGAAATACTTTAGTGGTGCTTTCTCAAGCGCTTTGCCTTTTAAAGGTGCCGCGTTATAAAGGAAAGAGAGAAGGGGGCTCGAACAAAACTGTCCTCACGAGTGAATGCTGGCCGAAGAAAGGCCGCACAGGTTCAAAATGAGTTTTTGAAATTATGACTTAAATGGCGCTGGTACGGTTTAAATAGCTCAAATCGTAATATTTCAGCTTTTCATAGTCCGTCAGTCGTTTTGTGAGGTTTATAAGCCTTTTTCAAGTGGCTGTTAAAACTTTCTTCCTCTCCCACATCTTGAAAAAAAAAACTGCAATCACAAATGCATGAGGAAAAACCAAAGGTCAAAGTGTTTTAGTGAGTGGTACGGCCGAGAACAGACGACATATTTGCTAGGCGGATGGAATTGTTTAAAGCCTCATCAAGCAGTGATGTCCACATAAAAAACAGCTTCGTTTTAAAAATAATATGAAATAGGCTGTTCGCTTCGCTCCGTCTTTTTTCCTCCCTCCCTTTTTCTTCCTCCAATATACGAGACTAGTAGTTGCTGAATAGAAATAGGTGTATTGGAACAGCGCCGCACTTTACCGTCCTTCAGATACTACGGATGTGGTGGGACTGAGAATGAGGCTCACGAGATTGAGGGTGAGAAGTCACAAGATCATTGAAAGATAATCCGAGAAGCTAAGCTGAAACCCGGCGTAGCTCCATCCCAGCACCAGCTAAACTTGTCTCAACGTATGACAAGCAGGCCGCTGCAGAGCTTCACTTTTCATTTCTCTTATTACAGCTTCTTTATTATCTTTATTGATACTAGATGAGCTAGAAGTAACTTTTTAGGCCTTTTTTCATTATGCTGTATTTCTAGCTAGGCTTATCTTGTAAATGTAGTACGTCTTTTCTTTATTTCGATTCATATTATTGGTTCTTTTTCAGTCCACAACTGTCGCTTGCTCTTTTTCTTCATTTGCAATTATTTAATAATTTGATCAGTTGCAATTCACAGCTTGCTTCTCCAGATGTGCAGCTAACAACTTTTCCATTTACTTTGTCCAGAAGCGCATTGTCCGATGGTCTTTTCTTAATATTTTGTGTCTAATTCGTTAGCAGACATAAAAAATTAAAGGACAGCAGCGCTGAAACTTGCCTTATTTTATCATTTCTGTCGAGTTTTATCCTGAAATAGTTCATATCTCGGCTTGGAAAAACGAAGACAGCAAGAAATGTTATCTGTACAGTACGCACTCAGATAAAGCTAATCCAGCTAGCTAAGAGTTTTGTTTAGCGTAATTAGCTGCATTTATGAGGCACTGTTTCGTATTAGTTACTCATTTTGGTAGAAAGGCCTCAGCTGAGGTGCGGAATTGAGTGAAGCTGTTTCACTCATCGGTAGGTTCGTATGTTGTTCAAGGCACAATGTGTCAAAAAAAATTTTTTTAGAACGACCATTAAATCTGCTCGAAATTCGAAAATGCGAGGATCTCTTACACAGAAAATTCCGTATGCATGTATCGTACAGACGTTTTCCTATATTACTGCCGCATATTCACGAATACCGTATAATAAAGAAACTTCTAGCTCAGATATTATATAAAATGAAGGCATACCACAAACAGGAGGGGAAACAATGTAAGGTACAATATATCCAATGTGTATAATGTTTGCACTCTGTATAATATCCAAGTCAGAAAGATGTTGTCTGATTGGGATCATACATGTGTTTGTAGTAGATTCGTATAGTATATTTATGAAGTACCTGGATAAAATCCGGATTTTCCAAGTTTCACGTGCTCTCAATACGGACAATTCACAAATATAATTTACGAGTGGTAAAAAAATGAAGTAAAATGGGCACAAATCCAGATACTGTGCAAACATATTATTGAACTTTGTAAAATACTTTATGATATCCGCGTCATTTATGAACTTTGGACAATATTCGCTCACTTCGAATAATTAGATGAGAACATTTTTATAGCAGTATATTCATACGGAATTTTTTGTTTATCTGAATTTCTCGTCGACTCTTCACACTTTCTTAGTGATCTCGCCAACTTGCAGCTGACAATTTCTCCATTCTTTTCTTTTTTAAGCATCTTTGATCCACATAGTTTCACGTAGCCGTTCCAGCGGGTTCTTTTAGCGTGCTGGGAGCTTTTCCATGAGTGATGATCAAATACCACATGTGAAGCAAACAGTTGCTCGACAAGAATATATGAGAAATGCGTTGAGAGCTCTTCTTTGATACGTCACCCAAATAGGGAAAATTTCCAGTTTTTCTATTATTTTTGCAAGATTTTTATATTAGTGTTTTTCCATCATTAACAGCTCGTTGCTTCGCTCATTTTTAGGGATATTATCAAAATGGAGAGGGCTCCGGTGTTCGCCTGATTAGCTCTTTTTGTTGTTGGGCAGTTCACCAATAGCTATTTAAATTTTTCGAAATTTCAGATTTTAAAGGAGCATTGAAGAGACGCAATAAATGAATGCAATTAAATGGGCTAAATGAGGCAAGCACTGACGAGCTGATCAACCGATCGGTTAAGCTAATTAATGAGCCGAAGCTCGAATCGAACGAGGTACGCAGCGCTCAATCAAGTAACTCGTATGACTGATCGATTGCGAAGCATTGTGGTGTGTGTCTGCTGCTGAAGGATCGAAACTCAGGAAGTCGATCCTCCACAGCTAAACAAGCAAGTTTTCCCTCAATCGCCTGGTCTCCGGACGATGTCTTCGGCGGCCGTCGCATCAGCAGCACAGTCCAAAGTGCAGCAACAACCGCAGCCGCAGATGAATGGCGGTACTCAGGCACAACTGAGGCCTCAGTTCCGGCGTCAAGGGTCCAGCTGTAAGTCCATTTCATGCTCACTTTCAATGATTGCTGTGCCTGACGCCTTTGAGACCTGAAGGTCAGCCGGATTGTTGCCTGGATGAGAGTACGCCCTCACTTAGGAATGCTTCCTCGCTCGCTGCTGGGCCATACTTGAGTTCTGCTAGATGATAGAAGCAGTGCCATCAGGATAGACAACGTCAATCACCGATCGCGTCTTAAGTGCATTGAAAAAAGTCGTAAAATTCAAATAACAAGTGATCGTCAAAAGTGAACAACAGAACTGCATGGGCAGGAGTCTCCCAAGTAAACGGCTGCTTGTTGTCTTCTACAAATAGCACATAATGCTGACAAAAATTTTATCAAATCAAATTGATTTCACTTACTATTTTTTGCATACCAGAAATACCAAGAAAGCCCGGATTGCCATTTCGAGTATCCCATATTATTGATGTTACTGGGATGCTCCCACACGCCAGACTCAGCTATACTTATCACAAACACATATTAAACTAAGGTTTTTACAATGAAAGGTAGGAATGTAGTTGTGCGCTTCTCGACCAGTTTTTCTGGCTGAAGCTTATGTGAATCAGAACGCCACGCATTGTCAAATCATAATTAATTGCTTTTGCTTAGTATTTCACACTAATTTATTATCTCTTTCTATCCCTTATTTCACAAATTACATCCTGGGATTGGCCTTTGGGCAGCCTAAACCCCCTCTTGAATGACGTAATCTCCTAACCTTTTGATTAATCCGCACGTTTATGTCCCGCCTTTTGAAACTTTTTTATACGTTTTTTGCACCTATACAATGCAAAGGATATTGTCGAGAGGTTCTTTGTTTGTGGGTACATGTCTATGTTCGTCACTCTGTCTCAGTTTTTCAGTCTCGAGACCTACAAAAGCTATAAATCTGAAGCTATGGCGACTTAGTCTGCACGTATGTAGAGGTCGCTGGGTGTGAAATGAATTTTCAGATCCTCCTGGTTCATAAGCAAGGACATGTGAAAGATTTTTGGCCAAAAAGATATTTCGGAAACCAAGCAAGCTAGAGGGCTGAAACTTTGCGAAGATGTTGTTTGTCCACGTATAGCACAAAGATCTAAATCAGTCCTTACGCAACCTTAGACCAGATGTACGCTTAGAAGTTTAAAGTGGCACCATGCCAACTCAAGAATTAAGCTGACTATGAATTTGTAGAGAGCTGCAATTTTACACTGTTTGCGATTCAAAAAACAGTGGGTACGAAAGCATAGCATGTCATGTACGAGCACCTGAAATTTGACACAGACAGTTCTGCAATTTTGGAACTAATGCAGCGGGAGGATTGAATTTTTTTTGTGCGTGGCGACAACCATGTTTGAGGGTGGGGATATTCAAACACTAGATTTATGTATATCACCTATCAACACTTCACGGCTGCTGCATATTCGGTTCTGAAAAGCTAAAGTTACCATCTTTCCCCTTTTCATTTCTCTCTCTCTTTCATCTTTTTCTATTTTGTATGATAATTTGCATAACAGCTTTAGTCTAATAAATATTTTAATAGCTAATAGTCGCATACATTCACATATACTAGCTTAGACATAAATCTTAGTTTCACGACACAATCGAAGACATGAATAGAACATCTGAAGGCCGATTGCAGATTTATTGCCTTAAACTTAACGGAAGACATGATTCTTAAGTTTTAGCATTATTGTTGCGTTATTTTTGAAGCAGGATTATTCGGAAATACATTGGTACCACACTTCATGCGTGCATACGGAGTGAGTTCAATTCCACCAGCCGGACATTCCAAATTCTCTAAGATTTGCTTATTTTGTTCCGATGGATGCTCCCGCCTCCTCCCCCCCACCCTCCGCTCCCCTCCTCCCTCCACACACACATACACCGACCCACGCACACGCATACAAACAGACACACACAGACGAGTCGTCACAATACGTGGTTTTGCTGAATGTTGTAGAGCAACAGCGTACCATCGCAAAAACGTGTAAAAAGCTCAAGCATTGCATGCGGAGTGAGTTTGATTCCACTAGCGGGACTTTCCAAATTTTCTAAGATTCGTTTATTTCGTCCCGATTAATACTCACCTATGTCAAGCAATGCTCGTTAGCTTGCTTGCAAGCAATTTCTAGAAGAGGAAGCCATCTCTTGACACATATTATCGCTCAAGTTACCCTCGAGAGCCTGTGCCTCTCATAAAAAATCAGGAACTCTCGGGAGTAGCTTGAGCGAAGGGAGGTAGAAACTTTCAGGGTAACTTGCACAGTAACATGTACCAAGAAGCAGGACTGTAAACGCCTTTCCGTAACGTGTGCAATCTTTTCCTCTCATAGAGACGATCCCTTCAGACATTTTCGCTAGCTCGAAGTGCAGTCAAACTCCAGTTCTTACTAGCTATTCTTAAAATGTCAGCGAGAACAGATAAAAAAATGACAAAAAATATGGGGAATGTTTGAATATGATCTTTCACTTTCACACGGTTTGAGTACCAACTGGAAGTTGAAGTCCAGGATCGAAGAGTCTGGCATAGCTGCGCTTGGCGAGTACAAGCTTCCCAGTAACATCACTAAAATGGGATACAAACACTGAGTGATCTTGACATAACACAGGCAAAAGATTGATTTGCAAAGACGCGTTATGCATTTGATGATTACACGGAAAAATGTACGAGCATCAAGTAAATGTTAGTTCTAGTCGGACACAAATGCTAACACACACTACACTGGTCGGTTCACTCGTTTAAAATACACACCAGCACAATGTGGGGGTGTTGCATTCCGCTAAGCTAAGAAAAGACCAGTGCAAAAACGAAGTTGCTCTTTTTTTGATGTTATGTGTTTTAAAGTAGCACTGCTGGTATCTACCTTGCGTGCACGCGTGTACGAAAACGTGTATGTGTATTTGTGTTTCTGTGCATATTTGTTTGTACGTGTGTGTTTGTGTGTATGTTTGTGTGTATGTATGTGTATGTGTGTTGTGTATGGATATGTGTTTGTTTGGATGTTTGTATATTTTTGTGTGTGTGTGTGTGTGTGTGTGTG